CAGCAGGATCTGACTTGTCTCACACTTGCTTTGCTCTCTGTGTAGTGTAAGCTATGAAAGAGAAGATTGGTTGTCTCGAGCTACAGCCAGTCCCTGCACTTGATGCAGGAAACCTGAACTAGACAATGGCAAATAAAATGTGGAAACCTTTCCTTTCTTAATGAAATGAATGTTTTTACTGAAATATCAGATGCTTTTCAGGTGGCCTTTTTCCTTTTTATGCATGACAGCGCAACCTTGCCACTGCTTATCTCTTTGCTTTTCAACTTGTTCAAAGAATTCACTGTAGAGCCTCATATTGCTTTGTATTTGTGTTTTCTGTGCTATAATTATACTGGTAATTCAGCTAAGATTAAAGGCCTCTGGAGGTAAGTAGAGCAGAAACACTCTGCTATAAGCTAATTTTGCTGCTTACCTAGATTCCCACCCTGCCTTGCCTAGCACACATTGCCAAGCTCGCTAATGCCACACAAGCTGTGGTCACTTGGCTTTTGTCTGTCTTAGACAACTCCCACTGCCCCCTTGCCTTCACCTGGGGTCTGGCCCACCCCTGTCTGCATCTCTGGCTTAAACATCCACCCACCCTTGAGCAGGGAACTCATGGCTGCTGCCTCCATGGTACGATTTATTCAACTCCTTCCTTCCCCTGAGAACAGAATCCAAGCAGTATCCCCCATCCCCTGCCTTTTTTAAAGTGCTAAATAATGCTACTTGAGAACTCTACTTCGCCTGGATTTTTTATTTTTTTGAGAGCAAGTGTGAGAAATGTATTAATATTTAATCCAAACAATTTGGAAGAACTTGAAGCTACAATTAGATAGCCTTGGCCATCTGTTGCGAGCAGCAGAACAAGAATTTATTTAATAACTTGGAAAGAGAAAAGGGACTGCCAATCACCTATAGATTTATTCCTTAATAAAGCTTGCACAGTCTCTGCAGAGGGAGATCCAGGTGGTGAAGGAGACACTCCAGACCGTGCTGGTGCAACTTCAGCCAGCCAGAGAGGCAGGAGAAGAAAAGGCTGGAGACTTCCTCTGTGACAGCTGGTGTCCAGGAAAACAAGACTTGAAGGAATAATGAGCAGAAAGAGCTGGTAGGATGACATTAATTCACAAAGGGCTGCTTTTAGTAACTGAATACTGTTTTACCGAGCCTCAGGGATCTCTTTGCTCCCTGCATAACTAATAACTAAATCAATTATGGAGAAAAAGTGCCTGGAGGTCTATCATCAGAAGTATTCTACACAGCCTCACATGTTTTGGCACAGATTGGGAAACAGCTTTCAGAGGAGAGCAGCCCCTGTAAATGTGTAGATTACAAATTGATACATTTCAAGTGAGTCTGCAAAGTTGCCTTTAATGTCAGTGAAATGTTCTCCTTGAAGGCTGCTAAACAGTATCTGTCTTCATTACTCATGGATTTCCCCCCCCCCCCCCAATTTAAAAATGCAGTGTTAAATGTGGACCATCTAGTATTTCTTGAAAAATAGATGTAAGAATAGTAAGAACTTTTTTTTCCTTTGGCTTTAACAGCTTTCTTATACTGAATGTATTTTCATATTGCTGACAATAATTAAATCAATAGGATGAAATTCAAGCTAACTAAGTTCTTTCAGATGAAATTTGGACCTCATTTACTCAGTGGTATTGAGTAGAGTGGAGATAACTAACAGCAGCCCCTATAGCAGCAGTTTAACTCTCTTCATTTAGGTGTTAATATAAACTTGCTTTAGTATTATGGGGTTGTAAAGCACAAAAAATTTGACTATGGTGGTGATTGTTGTTTCTTGTATTTAAATATTGTATGAACAATAAGTCATTTAAGTCTCCCTGGAAAGTTTATTACTACTATTGTATTACTTTGATCTTCCTTATAAACTTTGGAAGGAATGCAGATTTTCTGTTTTGCAATAGACATATGTATATATCTATACACATACTTAAACATGTAGGAAATAAAAGCAATGTTCAATTGAAGCCAACTAATATAAATGACCTATATTTAGAGCATTGTTCAAAACAGTTAATGCCTTCAGGAATTCATCATGTACTCTTACTTGCATAGCAATATATCTCTGATGTTACAAAGAATTCTGCTTCTGCCATTTGTTACAGAGGGAGAATTTTTTAAAAAGGTTGGTTTTTTTTAAAGCCAGTAGATGAAGAAAAGGTCTTGCAACTCAGTACTGTACGTTTTAAATAATATTTTTAACTTTTTTAGAATGACTTTTCTGCTACCTGAATTACTTATTTTATAGCCACATTGTGAAGGTTTTTGCAAATTTTGAAGGTCATTGGACTACTAGCCCATTAAGATTGTGTTCATTTTCTTTTCATGTTTTAATACTAGTTGAAACTTCTACCTCAATGTTAAGTACATAGGGAGGGAGGGAAAAAAAAAAAGTGCCAGGCAGCTGAGACATACAACAGGATTATAACTGCATCCAGGAGTATACAGTTGTCAAACCAGGGGAGCAGAGCTCTGGTGATTTCTGTAGTCATCAGATCCTCAGGGTGGAATTACAAGCCTGTAATTCAGAACATGGTTGACTTTTCTCATTGTATAATATAGGGGCCAGCATCCATGTTGAGGTAAATGCTCTTGGATCTTCACCTTGCATGGATTCTGCTACTCAGTTCCCATCCCCAGATCTCTTGCTGCTCTTCTGTTTGACAAGTTTCTTTCTCCAAGCTTTTCTTTACTGTCCCTCTTCAATACCTACCTCCCCATAGTAGATTTATCACTTTCTGAAGCTCCCCCAGGCAGATGAGCAAGGCATTTGTCTCCAGCTCAAGGCAGCCCGACAAGCATGGGCAGGAGCCTGTGGCACTGACATTCAGCCCCTGCACAGGACTGGCTCCCTGGGGAAACCCTGGCTGGGCACACGCAGCCTGGCTGCCTGGGGATGGCTGTCAGCCAGAAAGCATGGAAACCCATGTGAGTTCAGGTAAACAGAAAAGAAACCAGGCTGACATGATAGATTTCTCTTACAGCTGTTTCCTGAAGACCAGCAGAAGCTGCTCATGGCTTAACACCACTGAGGGCCTGGGAACTGAGTTTCCTGCAATGAGCAGTTATATAGGGTGATGAGGACACTCCTGAGATGATGGCCAGTGTACTGAGGTTGCGTGGCCCTCCTCTTCCACAAACTGAGGGGGGTGTGGGATTTTGCCCTTTGAATACACAGTGCCTGTAACGTAAATAGCTGGTGGGCACTGTGTGTGAGCCTGAGAGCCAGGATCAGCCACAGCTGAAGGGTGAAGTCTGCCTCCTTGCAGCAGCAAGGGCTCAAAAGCAGGGATATTAAACAGCTACTCAGCAAGGTTTTTTCTTGAGGACATTCCTATTCAATTAAAAAACCTGTGTGGTTTTTGTGTTTCACAGCTTCAGAGCACTGCTGCATTTTAATAAAAACTCATGCAACCACTCTAATAGGACACTGAACTCCTGAGGAGAAGAGAAACTGAATCAGTCATCATTCATATTATATTTGTATCTGTTAACATTTATTTTATACATAATGTGGACTACTACTACTTCAATTTATTATTCCATTAACTTCAGGGTTTGTTGTGGGAAGTTAGAGCCAGTAATCATTCCTTTTCTCAGATGTGCTAAATAATAAGCATACTGGAAAAAAAGTATACTATGCAATGTATCAGCTGCCTTTTATCTGTGGATAGAAAACTTTCAAATAAAGAGAAGTATGTTTTTAACTAACTCAGTGTCTGTTTCCATTCTGTGCAGTGTACAAGATTTTAGAAATTTCACGGGGGCAGGGGCTGATGGATGGGGAGTGAAGAGAGGAAAGGAGAAACCATGTGTGTGACTGTTATTGCACTGTCAACAGCAGTGATTCCTCTGCTTGGGAAATTATATGATGCCTTCTGGAAACAGTCTAAAGATGCATTCAACACTAGAGCCTCATGGCAAAATGCAGCTATTTTCAGTGTGAAAGGGAGAGAAACATCATACAGTGAGCTATACAGACAGGTAAAACTTCTACTTGAGTCCTGGCTCGGCTCAGCCAGTCTTGCTGTGCGACTGAATCCTGCCTCCCTCCCTCAGTTCCTCACTGAAGGGAAGAGAAACTTCCCACACTCATGAAGAAGGGTCAGGGGAAGGGAGTGACACTACACCAGCTACAGCAATATCTGGGGTCAAAGTCATGCTCTTGTACACCCTCATTGCCACAGTGAAGTGATGAGAGGTAGGAGAGGATGGTGGTGTCCCAAGGACCACTTTCACACGTGCTTGCTAGGACTTTGTCACCTCCAGGTAGAGTGGTCTCCCACTATCTGCAAACATGAATCCCACCAGAAATAAGCTCTTTTCCTGCCTGTGTTCTCCCTCTGTAGAACCCCAGCCCTCAAAGGTTTGAGGAGTACACAGAGAAGCATATAGGCTTTGTGGGCAGAAACCTCTGCCACAGCAATGGGGAGCTACAAGACAAGGAAGCAGCTCACCTTGAGCCACCCATTACATGTGCTTTGGAGGGAAGTAGTGGGTTGTGTTTAACAGACACACACTCTCAGTATACAAACATATTCTCCAGGGACCAAAGAAGAAAGCAAGGAGGACACACCACCCCAAAGAGTGTTAGTTTAGCTCCAGCCTAATATTCTTTTCACAATCAATTAGCTGGTCCATTCTTTCTAAGGCATGACAGCCCAGGCATTACTTGTTAAATCAAGATAAGCACATCTTTTCTAGAGCACTGGTGAAGGCAGTTAAATAATGGATCCCAGATAGGCAGTAGTGCTGGAGAGAGCTCCAGGGTGAGATTAGAATAATCCTCATGTATCCTCTTAGTTTGCTATCCTATTAAAAATGAGACTGGGACCAAGAGATTTTTTTTTTTTTTAGTCTCAGAGATTAACATGTGCTACAAAGAAGCTCTAAAATATTATGCACATGTGGAGATTTTTCTGCACTGTTAAGGAGGATAATACAAGTTTCTCGAGAGATACTTAAAAAAAAAAATGAGCCTGTGAATATAGGAGATTCTTTCTGAACCTGAAAAGCAGCCAAGCCAGCAGCCACAGTAAAGCATTTCTCTAAAAATTCTAATGAAGGCTTGAATATGAGGCCTGGGAAAAGAGCATCTGGGGTTGAGTGAGTAAGGAAATGTCTGAGTTCTTAACATGCATGGCATTCAGTCACTCCTTGTTTTGTTGTCTGAAAGAGCAGTCTTAGGGAACGGGGTGCTGGGACACTGTCAAAGACACACACAAAGTCAGTATCTCACTAGGCTATTTGTTCTTGTAATCGCCTATAATGTTGAACAAATAGTTTATAATAATAAGCAGCCTTACAGGAATACTAAGTGGAGAAAGAGAATATTAAAATAATCAGAGTCACAGCTAGGAGACACACTGGAGAAGCAGAAAATAAATAAGCCTTTCCACAGTGACAATCCAATTTACAAGGGGAAGAAGAAAACCTCAGATTTACTACTTCTCTGACAATGAGACTGTGAAACACCAAAGGAAGCCCCTCTGGGTCATCTTGCCAACTAGGCTCAAGATTTTAAGTGTACCAGCTCACTCCCAAAACCAGATCTTTGTACCCACTCTTAAGCTTCCCTGTAGCAGCATCCCCACTGCAGGACTCGGAAGCAGCAGCCCGGAGCCTGGCACAGCTCTGCACATAGGAGCTCCCCAGGACTGTGCTGGGAGTCAGCAGCACAGGGATTGGGTTAGAGATACCAGCGCAAACCTTTTTCACTCCTTGGGATTTGGGAGGGGCAATAGAGACTTATCCATCTTACTCTTTCTGTGCTCTTCCAAAAACTTGAAAATTTTATTTTCCTATGGTTTTTGCTTTAAAGTGTATTTTCAGAAATCTCCTCATGCCTCCTCCATGACCTGAAATTTAAAAGGACCATGATTGTTTAATTCCTCCTGACTCAAATACAATAAGCTCAAGCAGTGAAACCTAGTTGTTCTTAGCTGCTGCCTGATGAGTTTGGATCACAGCATACTCCTTTGCTTTCAGTAACATGAGTTCCTGGAGCAACAGCCGAGTGGTTGACCAGGCTATTTCCCCCACTTAACTGGGCAACGTTGAAGAGCAGAAAGATGGCATTGCCAGCTGCACATGGCACTAACAAGACTTCTTTATGAGCACTGCCAACTACACTGTCCCCACAAAGGGGATCAGGTTTCAGGAAAAGAGGTACAAGAATGGTTGGAGATTAGGAAAAACTAAGTTCCTTCCAACAGGCCAGCAAAGCTCATTACAAGCAAGTTTAGCCAACTAAAGACCAAAAGGTGACCCACTCCTGTCCTTTAGTATTTACATGGAGAAAGATTTCTAATGCCTACTGGCTATTTCATCTAGCAGAATCCTTCACAACAAAAAAGTTAAGACATTTCTAGCAGGGAGAGTAATTGACCATTGGAGCAAGAAACTCTGTCTCTCAAAGTTAAAGCAAGCTTGGGATTTTTTTTTTTTTTTTCCCCAGAAATTGTGAAGAAAGCCCCCCTGCATTCCAGATGTAACACACGAGTCAGAAAACACCGCAATGCAGGTTTGCACAGCCTGCGTGATTCATATGACACTAAGGAACAGTCTCAGTGATTTACCTTAAATACAAGCATTTTCCTTCATGGCTTTAAAAAAAAGGAAAAAGGTAATGAAAGAAGAAATGCTTTATTAAACTATTGTTTGGCTGCAAAGGTGGAGCTGGAGGACAGGGCAGCCTGGTGTCTGCGAGTTGGAAAAGCCCATTTACCTACTCTCTGATCTTG